TTTTTAAAGCAGGAATTCTGTCTCTTTTCTCGTTTTGTTTTCTTTTTGGACATTCTGGAGCGTTCTTATCTCATCAATACTTGTTCCCTGAGATATTAAGTGCTTTTTTCTAATGGTGTTTCGTTCAATAAACTAATATTTGTCAAGAATCTTTTGTACTTCCAGTGTTTGTAGCTCCTGTTTTAAGCATCATTCTTTCTTGGGCTCCACCTCCAAATAAATACTATCAAAACCTGATAAACTTTTGAAATACCTTTGTCCCTGCCCCAAAATGAACAGAAGTCTCCCATCCTGCCACCCCATGGGAAACTTTTTGGGGATGCCTCTGTTTCCGCTGTGAACTTTATCTTCAAAACACTGGAAAGCTGTTTTCTATTTAATGCATTTATAACCTGAATAAGGAAATATTTTGCAGGGGCTAATGGTCTGGCAAACCCAAGAGATTTCCTGTGTCCAGTTGCTTGGTACGAGGATCGCAAAGTGCCCTCTGGTTACACCATCATCAACAAGTACCAAGGAAAACTGTTTGCCTGCCAGCAGGTACTTATTCTGACATTTTATTCTACATGTATTGCTGCAAGAATCACCCGAATACACACTTGTCTGATAACGGATGCACGGTCATGTTCAACATTTTGCCCTATTACCCTATTTAGGTTTTGAGTTTGCTTCAGTAAACACCATCAAAATGCCACTGTGACTAACAGGAAATGGTCCAAGTGAAGCATGTGATCCATTAGCTGCTCCTGCCGGCTGAATTGTCATCCTTGATGATTTAATATCCAAGCGTTAGCTGTTATCCTTTCACTCGGTTTCCGCCTCGACTCCCTTATGAGTCTTAATCACTCGTAATTAGTTAAGGTATTCTGGAGCTGCAGACGGTGTACCTGCGAGGTTTTGCTTGGAGGGAAAAACCTTTTTGCAAGTAAAGCATTAATTTCACCATATTTTCCTCAGGGAATGATCCTCCCCCTTCTGAATACCCTGTTGGGCGAATAATTGGACCCACACATAATGTCTGACAGGAGTATTTTTTTTAAGAATATAAAAGAGGTGGGAGGGGATTTTTCTCTGCAGTTTTTTTATTTTTATTTTTCATTTTTTTCATTACAGATTAAGTATTTGAGTTTGTAACTGTAGAAACCGTGTCAAACCTTTCTGTAATTACCCATACTAAAAATGATACTTATTTTTTTAAGGCAAAACCTATTTTTTCACTCCAATATTTTGAGCTATTTCTTTTTGAAGATTATGATCTGGAGGTGAGAGGTGACGTTCTGGTCCCATTCCCTATAACTGCAGAGTGAGGCTGGACCCCCCCCCAAGTTAAGGGGGACAGAGGGCCTCATATGAAGGAAAGATGCTGCCGCTTCGTCTGGTCCTGCTGTGTTGTTCACCCGCAGAGTGCTAAAATTGCTCAAATTAACTTATTATTTGCTTGACTGGGCCAATATGTTTGTGTTTTGTGTGCATATGTGTCTGTGCGAAGTGGATGTCCCCCTTCATTTTGTGCCTCCCCCCCCAGAGATAAATATCTGAGAAATTACCTGCACACCATTATGCATGGTAAAATGACATTTTTATATCTTAATTGATTTAGTTTTGTCTTTGTTATTTAAAAAATGTTTTATTAGAATATTTCTTATTATAGGAAAGCTGTCTTATGTGTTGAAATGCCCCCGAGTGCACAAGCAGGAGCACAAGGGTCAGCCTTGAAGCAGCTTGAGTTGTAATGAACTATATTGATTTCAGAGCTTCTGTTGAATGTCTTTTTTTCGCAGTGACATTATCAGAACAGAGAAACTATATAAAATTGCTGTGGTTTTAACAATCAAGATAAAGAAATATCTCTACACCCACACTTGCTGAAGCCCACCCTTCTCCTCCAATAACTGCACTGCTGCGAGCGTCAAAATGCTCAAAGTTTGGGAAAGTTTGATTGTGAAGCCAATTACCCCATAATACCTGGTGCCTCGTTTCACAAAGAACCGGGAGGGGAATGAAAGGGAAGAAAGATTGAAAGAAGCAAAACCCTCTTACAATTTTCATTATGGCCATTTTTTTCCCTCTCTTTATGTCAAAAGTACCCTCTTGGAATTTAAGATTACAAAGACATTATTCATTGTTCCCCTTTTCCCTGTGAAAAGCTCAATTTAAAGTCTTTTGTGTTTGCTGCTCAGGTAGACTTCTCTCATTTTTTTTGTTTTGTGCTTTTGTACGAAGGATTTCTCTCCGTTCAATGTGGTTGCCTGGCATGGGAACTACACACCGTACAAATACAACTTGAAGAACTTCATGGTGATCAACTGCGTGGCCTTTGACCATGCGGTACGTAGGTGCGTCTTAAACGGAGCACTGAATAAAGGTACTTGTTTCCTAACAGATACGCATTAATTTTTTATTAGGATCCATCCATCTTCACTGTGCTGACGGCCAAATCCACGAAACCAGGTGTGGCTATTGCAGACTTCGTCATCTTCCCGCCAAGATGGGGTGTAGCCGATCACACCTTCCGTCCGCCATACTACCACCGTAAGACCTCCTTCGACGAACACACCGATTTTATTTTTTGTTTCCAAATTAATGTGTTTGCTTGCAAATGAAATTGATTCGCAACATCCCAATTGACTCTTTCCATAATACTGAAGCTCACACATCTTTTTTCTCAGCTAGTGCCAAAAAGACAATATCTGAGAACAAGCCAAGCTCCTGAATAATTCACTTCACACACCAGGATCTTTTGTCTGTTTTATACCAAGACCTTTAAGGCCATTTAGTTAGTCACTGCTCCCCAACAAAGAGCTGTGTTACAGTGCCTTCTGCTGGTCATTTCAGGTAACTGCATGAGTGAGTTCATGGGCCTAATCAAAGGTCATTATGAGGCCAAAGAGGAGGGGTTCCTGCCAGGAGGAGGCAGCCTACACAGCATGATGACCCCCCATGGCCCAGATGCTGATTGCTTTGAGAAGTGCAGCACAGCGGAGCTGAAACCAGAGAGGGTGGCTGAAGGAACCATGGTAAAACTACATACGGAGGCGTTTATTGGCTACACACTCATTTTAATTTTATAATGATGGAGGTAAACAGGAGGCAGGGGTGATTATACAACCTGCAACTTAAAGAAATATGATTTGTTGCACTGGTATGATTTTATTGTGGACTTTCTCTAACCCTAATGGTCCAAAATATACAGTAACAATCCCTATGATATTATGCTAAACCATGTTCTCCATCAAGCGGCACAACAACAGAAGTTTCTATAGTCATAAAGCAGTTCCTGGCAATAGATCTGTCTGGATATGGATGCAAGAGAGACTGCTACAGAAGGCCCTGCCTGCCTACAACTATTAAAATACACAACTCATTGGAAAAAAAGCCTGGAATTTAATCTTCCTTCAGAATCATACAGTATTTTTAAACTGAACCAAATATTTGACCAAGTATCATCAAAAATCCGAACATCTCCTTTGAATTTGATGGTATCTTCGCACAGAGCAATGATTAAGGTTAGCACTTTCCAGCTTTATGCATCACAAACAAAAAATCCGGTTCTTTTTTTGGTTAATAACTTATTTTCCTTTTTTGAACCATCTGGTACATGATGTTGTTCTTTAATGAAAGGGAAATAGGTTATGCAGCATTATCTATCTAGAGATTGCAGCTTATCATCAACAGGATTGAATTGTGAGTTTTATTGTCAAATGAGGTAAATACTGAGCTATTTGGCCACAATGACAACAGAAAATGTCATAATGAGTAAAGATTTTTTTTTTTTAAAGCATAGACAAATGTAGAAAATGTGTAACGTGGCAGCAATACCATGGTATTTTGTTTTGGTTGTGGGTGGATAATGGCTGCAGAGAACTCCACAATGTTCTGCTTCTCTTCCAATCTTAATCTAGTTGTTGAAACTTGGTACATAAATAGATGCTCCAAAAGTAGTGTGACCTCAGAAAACAGCTCAAAACTAGATTATGGGCAGTTTTCTAGCTACAGGTCACCTTATAATTAAGAGTATATAGATTACATTGTGAAAATAGGAACTAAACAACTTGAATTCCTTTAATTTAAAGTAATTCAGATAAAGAGAGCAGTTAGCTGTTCACAGAGAATAACTGGACCACCTCCATGCCAACAGAAAACTTAAGTTAGTGTGTAACAATAAAAATGAATGAAATATTATTGGGTATGTATGTAGGTATATTTATATAGATATATATTTTGTTTATTTTTTTTGAGTAAAATTGAGAGAAACCAGACAAGATTTTAGTTTGCACACAATATGAAAAAAACCTAAAAACTTCAGGTTGTATTTCATAGGATTCCACCCGAAGAAAATGGCAGAAATAATTTGGTTATGTTCATGACCAGTTACCATCTGACTGATGCTAAGAAAAGATGATTTAGTCAGTGCTGCAGTCAGTAAGAGATCATTTATGTTCTTTTGTTCTTTCAGGCATTCATGTTCGAGTCCTCCTTCAGTATGGCTGTGACTAAGTGGGGTCTGCAAACCTGCCAGAGACTGGATAAGAGTTACTACCAGTGCTGGGAACCACTGCGCAGCCACTTTAACCCCAACTGGAGGCCAAGCAAGCAGTAACAGACCTCCAAACCTTAGAAAATATTCTGATCAAAATACTGAAGCGAATGGCTTCGAAAATAATTATTTTGCTCTGAAAAATGCAAATAAAAACCAGCCTCATTGTCTTGTCGCAGCTGTTTGCCAATTACCAATAAATGTGCAGGGGAATTAGCTTCCAGCAAAAATGTTCTTTTTAGCTTAAAAAACCCCCCCAAAACCATAAAAAGGTAATTATTTCAGTGAAATGCGTATAGTTAACAAAGGTTATTCACTATGTTTTAAAGAATAAAGCTTTGCTTACAAACTGCACTTCCCTGTTAAAATTCATTACAATTTTCTCTCTATATTGACCTGACATTTTCTCAATGACTTCCTTTTCTTCCCATCAAAACTTTCCTTGAAAATCAAAGTCACATAATTTTTGACAATATGATTTTATTCTGTTAGTTAAATTTACACACAGCAACATTTCATGAACATTATGGGGGAAACTTTCCCAGCAGATCTCATGAGGATAAACTGAACTTGCGCTCGAGGGTTCCAGCCTTTATCCTCTCTTCCTTGTTATCCTGTAAAACAAATGACAAACAGATCACTGCTGGGTATAGTTTCCATAGCAACAAAGAAACATACCCTCCATGGCATGCATTGTGTGTGTGTGTGCGTGGGGGGGACTTTTTGTGATATACAAGCTGACTAAAGAGTTGAAGGTGATGGCAGCAAATTTTCACTGGAATTGGTGATGATTTCCAGGGTTGATCTCCATGACAATGGGGAGAAAATTGGAAGCACGGAGATTTCAACCTAAGCATGTCTTTCTAATGCGAATTGATGCTTGTCTGAGAAGGAACATTACAGGAAGGAACAATTTCTACCACCTTTGGTTGTCTATAATATAACTCATCTCTATAAACTCAAATTCAAATAAATTATGCAGGCAGCCATGGTTAGATAAACCACACTGTGACAGATTACATTCAACAGAAGGTAATTAAAAGTGTAACATGGTTTAAAAAGGTTAAAAAAAGAAAAGAAATCTCATTAAAATGAAGACTGTGCCACATTTTAAGTAAAATAGCAGGTAAATATAGATAAATGCTGAGAAATATTAAAAGATTTTTTTTTTAAAACAAAAACAAATACTATGTTTCTATATTTTTTCAAACTGCTAAATTGCTTTACTTGGTTTTTGTCAATACATTACATTTGACAAATGGAAATAAAGAAACAATATTTTAGTTTTACATAAAAAATAACCCTAAATTCACCCCCCCCAGAAAACAAAATGAAAAAACATTCAATGCTACAAATATTTTTAAACAAAAATGTTTTAAAACAAGCTGTTATAAATATTATTTGTGTATACAACTGATGTATCTACTTGTATTATATTACAATTTTAAAGAACATTATTCTAAAATCAAATAAGCATTAGATGATTAGGCCTAAAGGTAAACCAGACCATAATAGATGAGGCAAAGAAACCAGCTCAGCATCATGTCTCATACCCGGTTCGTCTTGAAGACGTAATAGAGGACAAAAAGGGGCACCACTCCAAACATGGCGCCGAGCAGAGAGGTCTTCTTTGTGGCTTTGAAGTGAGGATAGGGGTTAGCTCGTGCATAAACCCATCGCGTCAGGGCAGGGTCTTCCTATAATCAGACATTTAAAATAATATTTAATGTTTATGCATTTCGCAGACACTTTTATCCACAGATTATGATTTACTCAATAATAGTTTGACTTTAACTGTAATTAGCTTGAATTATGGGACCACTAACTGAACTGTATTCTCTTTCTTTTGATATTTTAATACACAAAACAAAAAACATCTCATTTCAAGTCATCCTTCCATAACATATAAAATGATGGGACATTTTATGTTAAAAATATTAATTGTGAAATAGTAAACCTTATTTATTAAACTTCACTGTAATCAGGAAAAAAAGGATTCTGATTCTTTAAAAATGTCTATGCATCAACAAGGTCCTCAATCTTCAGAGTTGTAAGATCATGAGATCTACGCTTTCTAAAGTTGCTTAAAGGTGACTACATGAGAAATATATTGACAGATATGTTTCAATTCGTTAAGAAGAGGAGTTTCATCGATTTCTGGATTTTGAATAGACTGTAAAACTTTCAAGTAGGGCTAAAACAATTAATCAAATTTATCGTGATTAATCTATCATAGAAATAATCGTCAACTAATTTAGTAATCGATTAAACATTAACTGGACTGTAGAGACTGTAAAACATGCCTTTACCTGACAGAGCGACCCACTTAGAGCAGTATTGTAAAACAATTATGTAAACATTTTGCATGTAATAACACTGAAAAACACCCTTTCATCTGTCAATATGCTCTATCCAGAACTCTTTAAGTGGAAAAGTTTTAGTTTCTCCAAGTTTCATTTGATAAAAATTCTTCTTTAAGGAACATTTTGCTATCTGATTATTAACAGTTTAATCATAAAAATAATTGACAGATTAATCGATTTGCAAAATTTGCCAAATTTTCTCTTCAATAGCTCATTTATTAAAGCCTATGAATGCTAATTCTTCAGCAAATATAAATAAAATAAATATTCTGTTCAGGCAAAACCCTTCAACTCCCTTTTTCTTTTATTTATCTTGTTTTGTTCCTTAAGTGTCCAGTTTACCTAAAACATTAAGGAAATTACATACATCAATTTTTCAACATCCTATAGTTTACATCCTAATATCAAATATTAAGGCAGATAACAGCCAACTAAGCAATAAAAACCCACTGAAAAAGCTGTTAAAAAAAAATATAAACTTATGTTTAACCTTTTGAAGGGGGATATGTTGGTTGCTCTGAATCATTGCTAGCTATGCGTTATTTGGATAACGTCTACCACGCAGAATCGTTTGAGCTATTTTAACAGACTAAACATAAAATGAAATTACAAATATTTAATCCGGACTGAGTTTTTTTTTTTTTTTTTTTGTTCTGGATCGGTAAATCTGTAAACAGTCCACTTTAAGCTCTCTTCAAGCAGGGGTGACTTTGGTTGCTAGTATGCTAGCTTAGCCGCTTACAATGAGCTCGGCTCTGTGGGGATTGTTGAGCTGCAACTGGTAGGTCCTCTTCAGGTTGGCCCGCAGTGCTGCCCGGGCATCCTCTGCTCGCCTCTGATCCGGAGAAAGATTGAAATATTCATTTGGGTCCAACGTTTTCGGCCGAGTTGCCAAGGGCGCCTCTCGGTAGTCCGCCATGATTGTTTGACGACGGACGGGACGAGAATTCTTCTTCTTCTATTGAGTTTTCTGGCAGTTTGCATCCTGTGTGCATTACCGCCATCAACTGGACGGAGATGTAATTCAGAAATATAATGTCTGTATATCTTTATATCTTCATGAAACTAAATTCTATCTATACTTACACACACGCACATACACACACTAAATTCTCCCAGCTAATTCTGTATCTTTTAAATATTTAATAAGTGCTTTAATTATCTTATCTGATTGATGCTTCCCTAATAAATCTGCCATCTTTACTGAACTCCCCATTACCCTTTCCAGTTCTTTCCTCTCTTTTGTATATTTGCTACAATAGATCAACACATGTTCTACTCCTTCGATTTCTCCGCAATAACAACAATTACCCGTTGGATGTTTCCCTATTATTTTTAGACCTGCATTTAAACTAGTATGCCCAATCCTTAACCTGTTTATCCATATTTCCTCTCTTCTACTCATTATACTGTTATATCCTATGCTAATATCTTTATGTATTTTATATAAATGTCTTCCTTTTTTTTCTAAATTCCATCTCTTCTGCCATACCTTATTTATTTTATCTTTAATAATTACTTTTATTTCTGTTCTACTTAGCGGGACATCATATTCAATTTCTCCTACTTTAACTGCTTCTTTAGCTAACTTATCTACTTTTTCATTACCTAAGATTCCTTTGTGTGCTGGAACCCATGTGAATTGAATACTTATATTTTGTTGCCTTATACCATACATTAAATAACTGACTTCATCTAAAAGATCTTGACGGCTTTCAGATTTTCCACTTTTAAAACTAGTCAGGCAAGACATTGAATCTGAACAGATAACTACATTTCTAGGCTTCACCTCCAGCACCCATTGCAATGCTAAAATAATTGCCAACATCTCTGCTGAAAAAATTGATAAATTATCTGTTGTTCTTCTCTTGATAGAAATATTTTCTTTTGGAATATATACTGCTACTCCTGTTTTACCATTTTCCTCTTTTGATGCATCTGTATATATTTGTGTCATATTTTCATACCTTACTTCTAAATGCTGCTGAATAATTTGATACAAACCTCCACAAGACTCTTCTATTTTTTAGTTTCTAAATTTACTATTGGCATTTCGAAAAACCATGGAGCAATTTTAGATGTACTTACAGTTTTACAGTATGTTATATTACTTATCCCAGAATACTCTGCATAAATATTTCCTTCCCATCCAAAACTCCTTATATTATGGCCATATACCCAACATTCTCTGAATATCTGTTTAGTAGGGTGATTTTCCTCATGCCCTTGTAAATTTAACCAGTAATTTATTGACAGTTTCATCCTCCTTAAGTCCAGTGGCATTTCTCCAGTAATCACTTGAAGAGCAGGAACTGGAGATGTTCGAAAAGCACCACTACATATCCTAAGCGCTTTGGCTTGGATTCTATCTAAATCTAACAACAAAGAATTTGCAGCTGATTTATAAACAATACATCCATAGTCCAACACAGATCGAATTAAAACATCATATATTCTTTTCAAGGATGAGCTAGTTGCCCCCCAGTCATTCCCTGACAAACATTTCAATATATTAATACCTTTTTTACATTTATCAATAATCTTCTGCATATGTATCTTAAATGAAAGTTTTTCATCAAACCATACACCAAGGTACCTTATCATATTTACCTGTTTCAATTCATGCCCATATAATCTAAGATCTACTGTTGGATTATCCCTTTTCCTTGAAAAACATAATACTTGTGTCTTCTCAACAGACAAACGAAACCCCCATTCGTGTGACCATCTTTCTACCGTTTTAATTGCTGATTGCATTCTATTTTTTAAATAACTAAGATTTCCTCCTCTCACCCATAATGCCCCATCATCTGCATATAATGCTTTATTAATTCTAAAATCTATATTATCAAAAATATCATTAATCATTATATTAAAAAGCACTGGACTACATACACTACCTTGTGGAGTTCCATTTTGTATATCATAAATGTTTGAATAATTTACCCCAACTCTTACTTCTATTTTTCTATTCTTTAAAAAATCCTTAATCCAATTAAACATTTTTCCTTTGATTCCCATTTTATTCATCTTAATTAATAAACCCTCCTTCCAAAGCATATCATATGCTTTTTCAATATCAAAAAATGTAGCCAAGAGAATTTCTTTATTTACCTGAGCCTTTCTTATTTCATTTTCTAAACAAGCAATTGGATCTACTGTTGTCCGTCCACTTCTAAAACCACTCTGATAAGGGGATAAAAGATCTCTTTTTTCTATTTCATACATTAATCTCCTAGTTATCATTCTCTCCATCAATTTACATAAATTAGAAGTAAGAGCTATAGGCCTATAACTTTTAACCTCTCCTTTATCCTTACCTGGCTTTAATATTGGTACAATGATTGAATGCTTCCAGCTTAAGGGCAATTCACCTTGTTTCCATACTTTATTGTATAACTTTAAAATGATTCCTTTAGCATCATCTGATAAATGTTCAATCATCCTATAACATATACCATCTTTACCTGGAGATGTATTTTTAACTCCTATCAATGCTCTATTCATTTCAAACAATGTAAATTCTTTATCTAAAATACTTCCATCAATCTCTTTTCTATTTAAAATTTCTCTATTATCTTCAATCATTTCCAATCTCCATGATAATTCTTCATTTGATAAATTTTTTGAACTATGCACCTTCACAAAGGACCTTGCAAACATCTCTGCTTTTTCCTTGTTTGTTATAGCTTCACACTGATCATCTTTAATTATAGGTAAAGAAAAATCCGGGACGAGAATTTCTAAAATCTCGCGTTGATAGCCAATCTTCGGTAACCATGACGACACTTTGTGTCTGGTTCAGTTTAATTGAATGATGGAGATAGAGTCCCCTACCAGGAATCAAATGAAACAGCACGGCGAATCAGCCGAAGACAGAGATGACAGCTTTAAATATGAGGAGAACTTTTTGAAAGACGAAGTAAATCTTGTTAGAGATGAAGATGAGGAAATTATAACCACGCAGCACCGAGCAGAGGCAGATCCGACCGTTAAGACGCTCCGTCCAACCCAGCAACAGCTGTCGATGCTGGATTTTTTTCGCCATTTCCTTTCACAAAATGAAATGACGGCAACAATGGAGTGTTTGGAAAATGAATGGGCAGAGCTGGTGCAGAAAGGAGAGTTGGATGATGAGCGGATCGGCCCGATCCCGGAAGTGTACACTGAGATCCAGAGTTTGACCAGAGAGTTGAAAAAAGCTGTGCGGGAAAAGGAGGAGTACGTGCGGATGGCGCGTGAAGCAGCTGGAGCCCTTCAGGGGGCGCGGAGAGCAAGAGAAGGCCAGCGGCTGCAGCACAGAAGGCTGGTCCAGGAGAACAACAAACTCACTGAAGACATAGAAAGACTGAGAATCAAATGCGACGCTTCAAAGTCTGAAGTGGAGAGGATGAGTGAGAAATACAAGACTGCGTCAAAACAGGTCTTTCAGATGGCTGTGGGGATGGATAATATATCAACAGAAAAAGTATCATAAACTGTCTGACTCAAAATAAGTACCTTTAAAGCCAAGTGTATCCCATTTAATACATGAGTTTTTAAGACTTATGTATCGTAATAGGGATATTTTTCTCCTTGAAAACACAGACTTACCCAATCAGACACATGTAATGAACAGAAAATGTGTAAAAGATTATTTAGAAATGCTTAATGTATCAAGAGTAACACAAATGAAGGCTCAAATTTAACTTATTCAAAAAGTATGCTTTTTATTTATTTTGTCAGAAAGTTAATTGACAACTCTAACAGAAATAGAATTTTCTGTCAATTATTTCTTCAGGCTTTAAAGGGTTAAATCTAAACATCAGAAAAGCAGATTAAAGTTTTGTCTTTAATCTACTTTTTAGCTCTTATTGTAGGCTTATGTAAAACTATATATATATATATATATAGATGTCTAATCATCTGCTGACGTGTATGATGTAAAAAATGATGATGAGCAGCTGCCTTATGGGCGTAGGTTTGCATAGGGACCATAGGAACATGTCCCTACCAATAATTGGATGTGAGCAACATGTTTATAATTTACAGCAGTAGTTAATGTGGCAGGGACTTCTTTTCCTCTCGCAGCTCCTCTGCCTTGTCTCTCCTGTCCCTTTCACGTAGCAGCGAATGGAACTGTGCTGCGCTGTCTCATTGGTTGTTCTGCCTTAGGTTCCGCCTTCTCTCTCTCTGATTGGCTGTTTTCTAGTCCGCGTGTGCTTGGAGCGCAAAATCGAAAATTTATTCACACTAGAATGCTGCGGTTACTACAATTAATATTAGGCTAAAAACTAAAACAAGTCCCGATCAAAAAAAAAAAAAAATTGAATATCATGTTTACTAAAAAACAAAAACCTTTTTTTTCTTTTATAAAACGAAATAGTCAGCCAGGAGTTTTGAAGACTGCTGGAAAAATGGGCAAATAAAGGCTTTAAGCCATCAACATTTCTAATTCTTAGCCACAGCCAACTAAAGAAGAAAATGTGAGTGTTATCTTTTTACCGATATTTAGTTGTTATTACTATTATTATTACTATTTTTTGATGACTCTTGAGGAAGTTTAGGTATAATTATCAGCAGGCGTTATTTCTCTTATAGAGTATAACAACAACAAATGGCGCCTAAATATCTTCTATATTTCGTTAAAAAGCATAATTAGGGTTCCACATAATAATAGTAATTTAATTGACTATTTATACTTTTAGAAATAGGATAAAGACAAGAACAAACAGAGGAACACTATTAACATTGATGTTATCTTACATAGATTTCCACACAGTCCATAATGAAATTAGTACAAACATTAATGTCTGGTAAAAATGCTTGAATCTGGCTGTTTATTTTGGATATTATTAAATTACAGATAAGATAATGTTATATTGTCGTTTATAATTACCTGCACATATACCGTAATATATGCATATATACCTGGGGAAATTACCAAATTAAGTTTTTCCTGTTACAAAGTAATAATGTGTTACTTGCTATGTTATTACCATGTTAACACATTGTTATTGATAAATTTTATAAGAAAGCACTACCTATATTGGGTTTTAGGAACAAGTTTATTGCCTTACTCATATTCCCAAGGATTTTTATAAATGTGATATTTTCAGACATTTTGAGGAAAGCTCTGAAGGATGCCAATGCAGCTGCATTTTAAAAGTTCAGTAAGAATGCTTTTAAAATGTCTGACCTTTTCAGGTCATCATTAATTGTAATTTACAAGTCTGGACCGTGCTTCATTTTATTTCTGCTTATAAGATTCTGCCTAAGTCCAATACTCTGAAGAAAACAATCTTAAGGGATATATATTAACCAAAGGTCTGAAGTATTTTCTAATAGTACAATAAAACAGTAAAAAAGGAAAAAAGTAAGAAAAAATAAAAGAATGATTCAGAAGCTTTAAATCCAGTACACTATTTTGCTTTACAAAAATCAGACTTTCAAGTATTTACTTCTTTATACAAAATACACTTTCTAGTTTCTCCAAGTTGAAAAAATATATTTTATCCACTAGAGGGCAGTCTGCATCAAGCTCTTTCCTCCTTATTAACACAGCAATGAAACCATCAGGTAAGGGCTAAGAGAAGGATTTTGCAAGAGTAACAGGAGAGTTCATTAAACTATGAATCCTTTTAGTTTACAGCAGTGATGCCAAAAAAGATAGAGTGGTCTGGAGTAGTTATGCCTCCTTAATTAAACCACATAGAGTAAAAATGTTCCACAGCTTACACTAAATTAATATATTAAATTACTCAGCGAGATTCATGAATTCATGATGTGCCAATTTAATATGTTGGTGTAATATTCCTCTCTCCCAGGAAGGACCAGGAATTTATTTTGAAGGCATCATTGCCCTGCTGAGCAGCGTAAAACTTAACCAACCAACCACTTTTTAATAATTTCTGTTGGATAGAAAGCTAGAAGATATTCCAGTGCCTTCATGCTTTTCCCATTTTGTCACGTTATAACCATAAACTTCACAGTATTCTAGCATGTTTTTATGTGCATGTGCCAGACCAGTATAAAAATGTGTATAATTGTGAGTTGGAAATATACATAACATAGTTTTCAAATATTAAAACAAATCCCAAAAGTATTTGTGAGTTTGTTTTAAACCTCTATTGAATTAATACATTACAGAACCACCTTTCAGTGCAATTACAGCTGTAACTTTTGTTTCTATGAGCTTTGCACATGTACAGGTGCTGGTCATAAAATTAGAATATCATGAAAAAGTAGATTGATTTCAGTAATTCCATTTAAAAAGTGAAACTTGTATATTATATTCATACATTACATACAAACTCATATATTTCAGATGTTTATTTTGTTTAATTTTGATGATTACAAATGACAACAAATGAAAATCTCAAATTCATCATATCAGAAAATTAGAATATTACTGAAGACCAATAAAAACAAAGGATTTATAGAAATGTTGGCCAACTGAAAAGTATGAACATGAAAAGTATGAGCATGTACAGCACTCAGTATTTAGTTGGGCCTCCTTTGGCCTGTATTACTGCAGCAATGCGGCGTGGCATGGAGTCGATCAGTCTGTGGCACTGCTCAGGTGTTATGATAGCCCAGGTTGCTCTAATAGTGGCTTTTAGCTCTTCTGAATTGTTGGGTCTGGTGTATTGCATCTTCTTCTTCACAATACCCCATAGATTTTCTATGGGGTTAAGGTCAGGAGAGTTTGCTGGCCAATTAAGAACAGGGATACCATGGTCCTTCAACCAGGTACTGGTAGCTTTGGCACTGTGTGCAGGTGCCAAGTCCTGTTGGAAAATGAAATCTGCATCTCCAAAAAGTTGGTCACCTGCAGGAAGCTTGAAGTGCTCTAAAACTTCCTGGTATGTGGCTGCGTTGACCCTGGACCTCAGAAAACACAATGGACCAACACCAGCAGATGACATGGCACCCCAAACCATCACTGACTGTGGAAACTTTACACTGGACTTCAAGCAACGTGGATGAAGTGCAACTCTTCTTTTCCTCCAGACTCTGGGACCTTGATTTCCAAAGGAAATGCAAAATTTACTTTCATCAGAGAACATGACTTTGGTCCTGTTTCTCTTTAGCCCAGGCAAGACGCTTCTGACGCTGTCTGTGGTTCAAGAGTGGCTTGACACAAGGAATGCGACAGCAGAAACCCATGTCTTTCATACGTCTGTGTGTGGTGGTTCTTGAAGCACTCACTCCAGCTGCAGTCCACTCTTTGTGAATCTCCCCCACATTTTTGAATGGGTTTTGTTTCACAATCCTCTCCAGGGTGCGGTTATCTCTCTTGCTTGTACACTTTTTTCGACCACATCTTTTCCTTCCCTTCGCCTCTCTATTAATGTGCTTGGACACTGAGCTCTGTGAACAGCCAGCCTCTTTAGCGATGACCTTTTGTGTCTTGCCCTCCTTGTGCAAGGTGTCGATGGTCGTCTTTTGGACAACTGTCAAGTCAGCAGTCTTCCCCATGATTGTGTAGCCTATAGAACTAGACTGAAAGACCATTTAAAGGCTTTTGCAGGTGGTTTGAGTTAATTAGCTGATTAGAGTGTGGCACCAGGGGCCATCAATTTTGAACCTTTTCACAATATTCTAATTTTCTGATATGATGAATTTGAGATTTTCATTTGTTGTCATTTGTAATCATCAAAATTAAACAAAATAAACATCTGAAATATATGAGTTTGTATGTAATGTATGAATATAATATACAAGTTTCACTTTTTAAATGGAATTACTGAAATCAATCTACTTTTTCATGATATTCTAATTTTATGACCAGCACCTGTAGATATAGAGATTTTTACTTGTTCTCTGCAAGGTGTGCTCAGTCTGCATGTAGAGTAGACTGTGAATTTCAATTTTCAAGTCTTGCCACGTATTCTCATTCAGATATATGACTTATGTGATCTTTGAATGGGACTTACGCCTTTCTTCTTGCAAACTTTTCATCAAGGTCAATATACGTATAAGTCTCTGGTAGTTCACACATGATGGAGTAAAGAGTTCAGAGTTTAAAGATTAATGCATTTTCTCATAACCTAATCCTGCATTAAATCTCTCCTCGACTTTACCCCTGACCTTAAGTGCACTGCAGTCCGAAAACAAAAAAGCATTATCAAAGTTTTTATATCTATCATATTCCTTTCACTTTGAAATAACTCCCCTCTTTGTGTTGGTTTACCTCATTAAAAATCAAAACAACACAGTGAAGTTCATTTTTGTAATGCGTCAAAATGTGCAAGGAGTACGAATATGTTTGCACGGCTCCTAACACCCCATCTGTGGTATGAATGCTAAAGTCTAATTTTGAGCTTCATCCTTGAGCAGCGGAGTGGTGCAGAGATGCAGAGAGAGAGAGCTCTTTGATCCAGAGGGACTGGCACCACTGCAGTATGTATGACCAAATGATTTATTGTACTCTCAGGACCGTCAAAGTGCCAGGCTGCTCTGAAACATCTATTTATGAGTCTAAAATGAAATTCA